AGAATTATTGAATATTATGTGGTGAGCGTCACTTGGTACGAAAGATTAACAAAGCACTACCAATTGTCCGTCCCATCTCTCACCTCAAACCTCCAATAAAAACGACCGGTTGTAATTGTTACGCAAACTGTGTGGGTCACACTGCCAAATGTTTGCCACCAAGGTGGGCTGAGCACATAGTGGCTTGGAGTTTGGAACGGGAACGGGTCAAAAGGACGGAAAAACCGCGACTCAACAGTTCAAACTAGTTGGCTATTTCAGATTGTCTTACTTGTGCTGTCAAATCGTTCATCAAGCTTCGTCCATCATTGTGTGCTGATGCCGACATGGGTCATATCCGCCAACTGCCTAGCCGAATGCCGCGTTTGGAAAATCAACGTCACCAGGCCCGCACCTTAAATTGGCCTCTAGTTTGCCACCTTCTGATCCTTCAGAAGCGAACTTCTGAATGGTCCCGCAAGCAACCACAGTCATTAACGAACGATCCACACTCGCACATTACTGTTAACGACAGATTAAAGTGAATTTCTGGTATATGGTACTCCTCAGCTGAATGTGCTACACAAAAACCGCCTGGTGTTTCAGTTGACACGATATTCAAATTATCAAAGTATATTTTCGTGCCACTGAAGAATACATTGGACAAAACACGCAGTTGAGTCCCTCATCAACAACAGCCTAAATGAGTATATTTCACCAATCGAGTACAATTTGATGTTCAAGTGGAACGTAGAAGTGACGGAATTTTGGAAAACACACCTACTTTATGAGCGAAGAGAAAGACGGAACCGACACTTGAGCTATCAGAGAGACTTCAAGAAGATCGCCATCATTCTTTCTTACGGAAAGTTACGAACCACTCTTGCACTTGTTTTTCTCTTTCAACGTGTATCTTATTAGTAAATCGCTAATACATTCGTTATGATAAGCGGACGTATTATCACCATCATCTGGATACGAAACACCATTCTCTTTATGGATTCGAGATGGTCGATTTATCGGAATATTTTGTGCGATGTGGTCGGTGCACAACATACTGAGACAGAGCCGTCTCGAGAGGAACTGAGCCTGAGGAGGAAACCACCCTGAAAGTCATGACAGCTAGGTCTCTGAATTTCATATCATTACTTGGTTGTTCTGTGCTTTATGTCCAAGGGAACAGAGTTATGGGGAGAAAGCAAAACGCACATCCATGCCGGTTTGGATGACCATAGTGACTAATATCTGGTAAGCATATCAGATGTTAGGCTTCACAATGAGAGTAAATAGTAGTGGAAATTTTTTAATTGATGAAATTGTGTGTGTGTTATCAGCAGGCGTAAAGTGTCATACCAACACCAAGGACTTTGTTCGTGTCGGGGGGGGGGGACATGCTCTAATGCAGACAAGCGTTCCCTACGATTATTCCAGTCAAGTCAGAATTCAGACTTCAAAACTGTCATGGTAAACTTTGCGTTTGCTTGTATAAGTAGGTAAGTAAAATCCTTGGATATGACAACCCCGAATCAAGCTAGTGTCTATTCATCATGCTTCCTGTATATTGGACAATGTTTACCGACCCTTCGATCGATACGGCCTTCTCAAATCAGATCACATTGGCTAGCGGTCCTCATAGACGAAGACTGGAAATTTATGACAAAATAGTTAATGCTTTCAAGGTTTTTCTTCCGGCGAACAAAAACGTATCAGTTAACACATCATTCGGATGTGATCCTAAAGCTTAATTACGCGACAAAAATTTGTGTTGTGGTGAAAAAAACATGCTCCAAGCGGCAACTGAAAGTTTGGCAACGCCTATTTTCGATATAAATTACAAAGTTCAACGAAAAATGTAACTTCTATTTCTGAATGAATAGAAATTAAACCTTCCTTTGAAGCTAAATATAGCATTCGCTGAAGGGGAACGCTGGACTGTCTCGGTTGAGAAATCAACAGGAAAGAGCTTTCAAAACTCCCCAAAAACTTTAGCAAGCGGATTTGATCAGCCGTGCGCTGACAAAGTTCGCAAACTGTGATTTTACGGTGAGATAAATTGTTTTGTTACCATTTTTTCCTACTTAGAGTCAAATAATTTCTGACTACCAAACAACTCAAAGTGGAATTCGGAAGGCTCCGTTTGCTTACGTTATATGTCATGCTCTGCTATAAGTTGCGACTGGACAAACAGATAAACAACTCGTCTGTATTTAGTTACCTCTGTATCCATTAAAAAGATAAGCACCTGTCGCTCAAATTCGGAGATTCCACAATCTTCCTTCACAAATGTACAAAGTGACTGCCAATCCTGTTCTGAGCTCCAGTGAAACAAAACTTCAGACATTTTCTTCCTCTTCCCTTGAAAAAAGGTACCCCAGCAAGGAACAAGTTTCAAATTGTCAGTGGGTTCATCATTCAAATCTCATAAGAACGGGAAAAAGTTAGATTAGGAAAAAAGTACGGTAAACATGATATTATGAATCGAATGTTATCTTGAAATGATGAAGCATCAAGAGGTAATCGATACCTCCTACTTTATGCTTCACCGCCGTGAATGTGTGGCTTAGCGATTCCAGATTGGTAGGTGCATGGTTCAGCATGGTTCAATAAAAGCCCCAACGCTGGTCGTTGCGGGACCGGCTAAACATGGTCGCTGAAGGCGAGCATGCAAACGATCTTAGGATCCTATCTTCTTAGTGGAACACAATGTGCCTGGATACCAAATTCACGATACTCTGACTGATACTGTGCATGATAAAGCTAGGGCAACCAGAAAGCACAGATCTCACCCTGTTTTATCTCACTGCGATTGAATGGAGTCAGTCAAAGGCGGTAATTGTGGCTGATCGTCATTGTGGGTGAGTTGCGTATATATCGCTATTGTATATCCACTCCATATCCCTCGTAGAGGGGATATGGCCGAACGGTTAAAAGACGAGGTGCGCGAGTATCCCAGCTCTAGCCCATTGAGCACGATAGATTTAAATCTTCGTGTGAGGTTCGTCGCTTTGTGCAATGTTACCAACGGTCTTGACTTTGAAGTGATGACTAAGCACGAAAGCGTCCCATCTAAGGGGCGAGACACAATAACGTCAAATATAGACTTTGTGTCCAAGTTTAGTTCTACATTTGGCCCCATCGTTTCCGTACGGACTAAACTGTGCTTCGTAATGAAATGCAGGATGCGGAACGTTTGTATGTGAGTTTCATGGAAGTTTCCATGGAAGTGGGCTTGAAAACACCAAAGGCATGAGCAAACTGATTTGAAAGGATGGGTCCCACAGAAAAACCAAATGTATTACTCGTCTGGTGGGTATTCACGAAAACCCTGAAGCCGAGTACGTAGGATGGATCATTATCAGGAGATCTCTGCCGTACACTATTCTGCTTTTGCCCGATGGTGTATAACTCACGTCTAGAGTTTCAAAGAGCAGTGCTTTAGGCTTCCTGAGCTTTCGAAATTCTATCCTGGATCGAACTGATTATCTTGCACAACCAGCCACAGAAATCAGAACGAAAACCAGAGCACACTCAGCACTTCAGCAAGACGCAATGTACTCAAACCATGTCTGGACAGGTTTCGGTTGGCATGGATTTAGACAAGACAAGTTATTCTTCCCCTAGTTCTCACGGTGAGGCCCTGGTGAAGTCTTGGGGGCTAAGTCTCTTCAAAAAGTAAAACAAACTACTTAAAGAAAGCAGAGCGCCGCTCACATGTCCATTAGAGTGCATGTGAAGGTGGGATTTTTCAGAAACCCATACTTAATATCAGATCGCCCAAATCACTCGTTTTTAACTGACTGACTAACACCAGCTCGCTGGTCCATGATTTTTGGATCTCAGCGCATGTCGACAAGATTACGGTCCACTATATTTGCAATTCGCTACCAATAAAAGCATCTCCCTTTTTTATTTGTGGTTCCCAATGCACCATGGACATAACCTTACATGGTGAGGTGCTTGTGACATGCTTAGAATTGATTGGTGGTGTAAACCAGCCACTGCGTTAGTATCCGTTGGTTTGGACCGGCCAGCTGAAACAAAACTTACTAGTGCATCTCACAACAACCAACGGGTTCTCGCACCACATTTTTGGTGACCTCGTGGCAAGTGATATCCATAGCCGAGTCTTACTACCGGTCCGAAGATGCTTCAGGGTTTCGCGACGCCAGAATTACAGTTTACCAAGGTGTCAGTGTTGATCAAGCTGGGTTTGATCCCATACATCATACATCCGTAATGCTGTATGTATCATCCATATCGGTTACCTGATAGTCAAGCATTTTTTGGATTTTTGAAGGATGACCTTTCCCCGGTAGCAACTTGGCAAGCTGGGGAGCAAGAAGAATAAGTACAAACCAGCCCATCGTTCTTCAGAGTTTAGTGTAGGCCCAGCCCCAGAACCTTGACGGCCTTCAAGAACACTGTTGATTTTGAAGGTGCCATCTGATTCCGCAGTCGAGCAGCAAAGCACCAAGTGTCGCTTCACTTTGTATTTGTCAACCTATTTAGGTTTGGCGTGTCAACCTCACGTACTTCAAGGTGACTGAATCTCACGGAGGCTTGCAAGACTCATTGGTGTTGACGACCTAAAGTACCGTGGTATATCAAAGTCCTCTTTCTGCACCAGTTCTAATATGATTGCTTTTGTGTATGGCGAAGAAAGGTATCAGGCTTTTACAGCATATGATTAGCCTGCCAAATTCAGATCTTCTAAAGTGGTAGTTAACGAAGAGGGATATCAGAATAGCACCACAGAATGTGATATTTGGTCAAAGGCTTAGATTCCAAGATAACTAAGAAGCGCAAATGATGGAAAACCGCAAGTACATGTTCGCTTCATGATAGTTAGACAATATGAGCGATTATCTGACCAAAAAACCGCACGATCCTGTCATCGCATACGTCACTATTGGTGAGGATGGCTGTCAACAGCAAGTGGTCATTTCACTTACGTTTTAGACAAGTATAAATAATGTTTCACGGGCGAAGAGCGTGATCTGCGAATTATGTATACCAGATAGTTCTGTCATCACCTTGGTCACCTGGTGGTTACCGCGAATCACTGACTTGTGTCCATCATCAGCGGCAGACCATATAATATTAATCGACAAGCAAGTGAAGTCGCACCATGCTCTATGTTAACTGTGAACCATACCAACCTGAGGACCATTCACATATAGGACCCGGACAAAACCTGTTCAATGCTTAAGGTAATTATCTGAATGTTTTCAGTCCATGAACCCTGTGCCGTGAAGGACTTTCCTGTTGAATTATTGATAACTTAGGAGACACTTACTGTATTCGTTGCACCTGCACACCAGTGTTTTTACTGAAGACTCAACTAAAGCCCAGCTGTATCTCTCGTCTATGATATTCTCCAACTTAAGAAAAATGGACATCGCGCTAACTGAAACGTCGGACAGCCTTTGTGCAACACAGTTGATTGAAGAGTATCAAAAACAAGAGATTTGGCTGGAGTCCTTTCGGGTCTCCCATTAAAACCAGCTTAATTTGAAAACGAAACTGATTTTGTACAACTGGGGTTCAGGTATAAGGTAGGGTTTTAATGGACTTTTAGTCTTGTGAGTGAAGCCGAACCCAATACTTCCTGGCCTTTAAGTGAACGATGAAATTCCCAAAAAAATCCCAAAACCTTTCTCACATTATCACCGGAACATAGTGTTGACGGAAACTGGGCGAATACGCCAAGTGACTAGTCCGAAGCGTGGGCTGTCATAAAGTTCAGCAACCTTATAAGTAGTCTTCCTTTAAAAATCTAAGCTATTGGTGTAAGTCCTTCAGAAAGCTCTACTTTTGTTTGATCTCTTAAAGAATGCGGCAGAAAAGCACAATTTGATTCGATAAGTGGACCACGTTATGGAGCATTTTTTGTTCAGTCAGTCTTAAAAGACTGCGAAATATTCAATAACCAAGCGTCTTCGTTCTCGAAAGTTAGAATGAGTTTCCAAGGATAGTGCAGTTTTGTCATGAGTTACATCCGGTATCCTACTCCTTCTGATCTGTCACAGAATCATTCGCACATATTCACTTGGATATTTTTTCCGTCAGCTCAGACCCAGTTGATTGTTGTTCAAGCCCGCTGTAGCGCGATTTCATTACGGTGAATTATTAACTTGAGAAATGCATTGATTTGCATACCAGTTCGGGTTCTAACAACCTGTCATGCATAATTTGCGGCATATGCCCATACAGAGATGAGACTTTTAGCAACCTTATCAGTAGTATTGCTTTGCACTTGCTAACTTAGTGTGTGGCATGATAATTTACGCAAAATGATTCCCTCCCACTTGATCAAACTAGAGGACAAACAGCGGTTATTTCAGGGAAATTTACAGGCGTTCCAATTGAATTATCGTGTTAGATGTGCTAGATGAATCATACGAGGAAGCACCAAGTCTCGTTTCTGGAAGATATTTATCTTTCCGACTGTTTTCCTTTTGAGGGCACATCTTTTAGAAGAGACCACTCGTGACTAATCCTTTAGGTTATTGTTTGATAGAAGTACTAATATTCTATCTACCACTTCGAATAGGTTTATCTGTTTGTAAATTTTGTTTTTAGAATCGGGGGATTACACCGACACTTGTGTTAGCAGTGTGTATGACATGCCTTGGTTCCTCCTTCCTGATCGGTTACAATCTCGCTGTGCTCAACCTTCCAGCCTATGTGAGTTTCTCTCGTATGCTACCTTTTGTTCTCTCTTCTGCTTGCACATGAAAATATATAGGTCCAATTCGCGGTAAACGAGTAATCTAGGTGGTTCACTCCTCAATGACATACTACAGTGTGAATCTGGCCCTTGGAATTCCTGGTGTAATAGTATGACTGGCCCCTTTGACTACCCCATGTTGAAGAAACATGTCGGTTTGTTAGCTGAGTGGAGGAAAGTGGTTTAAGCATTCGCATTATTACGAAAACCGCTATCGGTAGCGAGTTTCATTCCAAGGCTGAAGAACGGCAAAACAATGTAAAAAAACACTTTCCTCGATTTTTGAAATTCCAATCACGAAAATGAGGTTTCTTCTTAAGTTCAGAAGGAATGAGTAAATTCGGCTTCATAGTCGCACTATTTTTACTGTTCCCTCAAGTACATAAATGTATAGGTTGTACCAAGCTGAAAGACCGTTTAAAGGTCTTCGTAGATCAATTAGGAAATTACGTGCATGTTGCAACTAAGCTCCCTGTGTGAAACCAGGGGATACAGTTTTCACCCATACTTAGTAGAAACATAGAAACTAAATAAACCTGGCGGCCAGTGGGTTATCACTTTCGCTCCGTTTATAGCTCGTCGGATAGATGTCCTTAAGCCCAACAGGCCAAATTCGTCCTGAGCTTTCCGTTTACGATATTTAGTCAAGTTTTATGTTCACTTCACTTGAGTTTTTGAAATGGCTACCCAGTAAACGGTAATAGAAGTTCTCCATAAAAACAGTCAGTTCCAACTTTGTAGTTCATTTTTCTATCACAAAGTTCCTTGATATTCTAAAACTTTTGGCTAGATTTATTCCTAGGCGGACCCATGTTTGCACATTCTTTCTACCTGAGAGATAGTCTGTAGGAATAAAACAGTTTTGTATCAGAAACTTCAAAAAAGTCACTAAACTTTCCTATAATTATACACACTTAATACGGGGTATGCTATACGTTTTTTTCCAAAAGAACCACTTCACGTCATTTATTGATCTCGCTCGATGGACAATTCCTCTATGGATGGGTAAACTTAAAACCTCTGGGGATTTTCAATAGCGTTCAAGTTCGCTGCTTTTATAGGTTTTTAGCCGACTTATGGTTTACAGGGCTCCAGCTGTGAAACAAGAAAGCCGTGTTGGAAATCTTAAGCCAATAGGTGGCAGAATTTAACCTACCATTCATACGACGGTCCTGATGCTTGTGAATACTCGTCTACAGAATAACTTTTACTTAGTTTACTCGGTGGATTTTACATTCAAACGATTTTGACTCAACAACCAGATGAATCACTAGTCAGTGCTTTACTTTATTTGAGTTTAACTTGAACGTCATCTTAATGTGCGAGTTAATAATGGTTCCACCTGCCCAGTTTAGGTAGCAAACAAGATTGACGATATTTTGTGAGTTACTCCCGTCTATAGAGTCTCCAAAGAACAAAACTGGTGGTGCATGGTCACAGACTCTTGCCTAAACCGGGGTCTTTTGAAAACATCTAGTCCAGGTTTTTAAACAAACAAAATGGAACTGCTCGACGTTTCCATCAAATTGTCGCCGCAGACTCGTTATTACTGGCCATGTGGACTAATAATCCACCTTTCTGTTCTGCAAAGTTTCTGGCATTACATCTACACTTTAACCGATCCAAAGAGGTGCACTTAAACGATGCTATTAATGGCCTGATTTGGTGACGCATGTTAAAAAACTAAGACTTGTTTAAAGAACGGAAGCAAAAAACATCCAGATGTGAAAATCGTTTCCAATACCTTGGTATTTTACAGGATTATTTTCCGAACCTATAAAATGTAGACAGATTTGCATGTCACTCACCTGTCAAGGCAGTTTCTTTCGTCAACCTTCAAGTTGCTTTGTCCTCTGGTAAAAAGTACTTTCGAGGCAGGATACTGAGCTTGCAGGCAGTGTGGTAATACTGATACCTATAGCTGACAGCCATGGTTAAGTCACCTAGGATAACCTTTTACTTTACTTTACTTTACTTTACTCACTGAAATCATCCGAGGCTTCAGTGGAATCCCCGGGACAAACAACTTATCGCACTCACATTCCATTGTCTCACTTGAAATCAGCTTGAAAACGAACTGTAAACAAACTTCATCGTAAAAAAGAATTACAGGAGAGATATTCCACATTCGGTTTCGAATAATTTACGTGCGCTTTGCGGGGCAAACCTTTTTGTTTCGTCTGACCGGAGCTTTCTTCGGACACTTATCCCTGTCCCCGTATATTTTTGTCATTACCTCTACACCCTTTCTTTGAAGAACAAAAAGTGTGGAATGACCGAGCGGTTTTCGCGTTTCCCTCACCTGCCACAAACTAGCTATTCTTGAGACTAAACTAAATTTATGTTGTTATTTCGTAAAATCGAGGGACACAATGATAGCCCACAAAATGGTGAAGAATTTTATCATAAAAGTTGAGCACAAATTGGGAGGGACAAACAAAAGCCTTCTAGAAGTCCTAGATTCCTCTGATGAAAATAAGTAGCTAAGTTATTTTTACTTATTTTTTTCAATCAACATAGTGCAAGTCAGCTAACCTTAATGGATTTGCATTGACAAACTGTAAGATTCAGTAAACGTTCACAATTTCACCCTTTTGTCTACTCACGGGCCAGCTATATCTGTATACAGGAGCTTTAAGTATCCCTCATGTATTTTCAGTGGTTAAGTATCGAAATGTATCTAGGGTGTAAATTAGACTACAATTAATTAGGCAGGTCACGTGGAAGTCTTACCATGATGAAGTAACACCTTGGCGATACGCGAAACTACCAAGTGGCTCGGGTGCTGTTGATGGTTACTGACCAGGTGAATGTTGATCCGTTCGCTGAGCTAGTCAACTAGATTGCAAACGCCTTGTCACCAAGCGCAGAGGATTAATAAGTACGTGCAGTCATCACTCACTCTCCGTTTGGTGGCGAAACTTTTGCAAGCTACATGGTTAGGTCTGCGAACGAACCAACATCCTAGTATCAGTTCCCTCGTCCTCCCTTCAATATATTGTTCTGTGATAACCACCATCTTCCGTCCATTTGTTGTTCGTCCGTCGCAGAAGTTGTATCCCCAACCGTGGGAGAGCTTTCATGGTGATTTTGGTGATTAATAATCCCATGTTTTCTTCTCATGTTGTGGCAGTGGTAGACCGAGCAATCCAGACCATTCATATTGTATTTTTCGGTCTCAGTTTGGGCATCGCTCTCCCGCCATCCTTGTTTCAATGACATGTGACGTTCTGCTTACCTGGTGCTGTGCTCATGTACACATTCGCAGACCATTCATCTACTACACCTGACCTCCTTTTATTTTCGGAGTAGTCTTCATCCATGACTCTGAGCATACTTTACCTCTCATCCCCCTGAGAAGCTTGCCGGAAGCGTTTCTTCAGGATTGCCTGTCGCAGATTTCTTTGCAGTGTAGTTATTGCTTTATCCATTATCCAAATAGACACATGTGATTCTTCTATTTTACATAGTTAACCCCAATCCGTCTGCTACCTTGTCAGTTCACTGTCTGGGCTTATGGAGAGCACAGTAATATCAAGAACATTGCGATTGTGACATTTTAATATCAGTGTTTAAATCAATGGCTATCGAGCATGCCGACTGCGGCTGATAAGCAGTTATCCTGTGGATTAACAGTGTGGCCTGGATAAAGTGTTGGCCACTCAGCATTCAAAACATCAACTCAAGGTTACCCTGTCTATGAAATCAACCACAAATTTTGTGTACAGATGCACTTAGTGTCAGTTGTTTAAATTCGAATAGTTCCATTTGAACAGTAGCAGAAAAGGACGGGGAAAGGCACGCACCTATGAAAGGCGTTGGGTTTCTAGACTTCTGTGAAATTCGAATGTTCCATTTGAACAGTAGCAGAAAAGGACGGGGAAAGGCACGCACCTATGAAAGGCGTTGGGTTTCTAGACTTCTGTGTGATTCTTTTTAATACTTTAAGCAGAATTATAAGTAGCATCGAAACCACTGCGATTGTTTTGTGATCACCGGGGAGCGTTATATTTGAAGGTGCATGAGGGCGCGCACAGCCTTATGCAGAAGCCTTTGGTGTATTGAATACCGTGCAGGTAATATATCACACATATCCAGGTCGAAACCTCGATTTGATCACGCCAAGAGGACATCTGCTGTGTGATCAATCATCACACGGTAGCTTCCGAAAAGCTCCTAGTTGGATCTTAAACCCCTGAATTTTTTAAAGGAGTGTACGGACGACGCTAGGAAAAACCAGTTGCTTCCACTTGCTTCATACAAATGCATGACAACTGTCAAACCAAACCGAAGAAAAGCTAATACATTAGTTTAAAAGAGAAATAATATCACTTCTTAAGAGTGAGATAAAATGAAATCGACAGTTAATGAGTCACAGTCCAGTCAACTCAGTTGTCTGCTAACTTATATTTGTGAAAACGGAAAGTGGAACAAACAGCAAAACTGATGAATCCGCTAGTGTTTTTTAGTAAGGTAAGAGACTTGGAAGGAAAGTCAAAGAAATCACTCCTTGCGTGCCTTGTCTTCATTCATCCATTTCTTTAGCCAGCGATCAGACATAACATTTTCCGGGGAAGGTGGAAAGCGCATAAATTCAGCCCGCGAAATTCCAGAAGCAGCGATCAAGAATTGGAGTTACTTTGAAATCCATTGGCACAAAACCGAGGAATTTGCTAGTGTTTAGTAAGGTAAGAGACTTGGAAGGAAAGTCAAAGAAATCACTCCTTGCGTGCCTTGTCTTCATTCATCCATTTCTTTAGCCAGCGATCAGACATAACATTTTCCGGGGAAGGTGGAAAGCGCATAAATTCAGCCCGCGAAATTCCAGAAACGGCGACCAAGAATTGGAGTTACTTTGAAATCCATTGGCACAAAACCGAGGAATTTGCAAAGTGATTCACACAAAACACTTTCTCCCTAACGGGTACTGTTCTGATTCGAATGTTGAAGGATGGAC